AGGACCGGCCTAGAAGTCGGTACGCGGTTAATTGTGTAACCAGCCACACACAGTTCACAATGCTTACGCTAAAGATGGAGTCTGCAAACCAAATCAACAATTGAATCTCCCTCTTCACGAAACCTCCCCAATTCCCAATTTTTTTTTTGTCTTTTTCGGTTTCGGATTACATCATCTCAATCTGCTCCTTTAAGATTTCCTTTGCGGTTTCTTTTTTGTCGGGATTGGTTCTGGTTTCTTCAATAAGCTCGTCGCTTTATCCGATAGATCCGGCAAAGAGTTACCGGAGACGAATTTTAGCGTCGTTGGTTCGCCGTTCATGGCGTTATCGTGGGGATCTGTTCTCCGGATTTCCGTTCTCTTAATCCTCGTAGCTGCAATTGTCTTAGCTTGCTATTTTCTCCCCGTTGAGAAGGTCCGTTTTCGGGTTTATTGCCGCTAATTTGCGGAATTAGGGTTTCAATTGTGCCTATCTTTTGATGGGTTTTTGTTGGTGTTGGATGATTTCTGAAAATTCGTATCCTTTTCTTTTGAATTTATGGTGAATGTGGGTCGATTCGTGTTGTGTTCTTCTTATTGGATGTTTTCATACCAATGAAAGATTGAGATTTTACAATCATTGTTTTACTTCTATTGCATTTGATTTTCTGGGAAAGATATAAGCAAATCCCCAAAAGCAAATGCTGCGTGTAAAACTTGTAGATTGATCTCTGGATAATTTCTTCCCTTTTTGAATTTGTTTCATTTGAAAGTTACAAGAAATCTCTTAACATTTTTTCTTCTTGTTTCAGCTTTTAAAGGATTTTTTGTTATGGGTTGAACAAGATTTAGGGCCTTGGGGACCTTTTGCCCTGTAAGTGTCTCTTCTTCTTGTAAGTGGTAGCTTTATCTCTGTTTGTTTAATCCATGGATTGGGAAGTCTTTGCACACAAATCTTGTAGATAGTGATGAAGATAGTTAGGAACAGAAGAGTTAGGAGGCCTTTTTTCGTTTACCTTGGTACTGAAATTCTTTTTCTTTTGTAATATGCGTAGAGCTGTTGCGTACATTCCTCTCACAGTGTTGGCTGTTCCTGCCTCGGTTCTCACGGTACATACATCAGTTCCTATTTCTTTTTCGTGAGATATATATTATGGATATCATACCTTCTTCGTTAGAGTGATATGTGCATCTATAAAATTGAGTAATCTTATTTGGTTGAAGCTGTGATATTCAGCTCGGTGGTGGCTACCTTTTTGGGCTGCCAATTGGTTTTGTGGCGGACTCAGTTGGTGCTACACTTGGCTCAGGAGCAGCATTTCTTCTAGGCCGTACGGTAAGTGTCTCAAACTTCTTTTGTTTTCAGCAGTTAGAAGATTTGCAGACATAACCATTTTAATTTGTGAATTGACCTGCTTAGCGGCATGGATAAACCATTGATGCTAGTACTTACATGATAATGCTCTTATGCAGATTGGAAAACCTTTTGTTGTTGCAAAATTGAAGGATTATCCTCAGTTTCAGTCAGTGGCACTCGCGATTGAGAAATCCGGTTTCAAGGTTTGCACCAAGAACAATACAAGTTTTAATATTTTTGAGACTTGATTTATCTATTTGAAACTTATGGATATGCAAAACCGAATATAGATATGCTTGCTGCTCCGGCTTGCTCCTCTTCTCCCCTTCAGCATGTTGAACTACCTTTTATCTGTAACGCCAATTCGGCTAGGCCCATACTTGCTTTCTTCTTGGTTAGGGATGATGGTAATATAATCTAATCCACCTCTCCATAACCACTGTAACATGTTTAATTGTAAGAGAAAAAGAATACAGCTTGAAATACATTGTTTATTGCAGCCGATAACGCTTGTGTTGGTATACGTTGGAACAACTCTGAAAGACCTTTCTGATGTGACTCACAAGTGGAGCGAATTCTCGACAGGCCGCTGGGTAAGATCTGGACAAATTTATCTACAGTATCAGCTTCTTGTTTCAATCACTTTTCTGAACCCGTGTTCCGCATTATGCAGGCGTTCTTGATTTCGAGCCTTGTAATATCCGGTTAGTTCGACTCTTCCTGCAACTCATTTTCACCATACGGTAGTAGAATCTTTATGAAACCCAGAACCACTAATGTTTCTTCTTTTATGTGTTTCTTCGCAGTGATATTAATGGTATGTGTTACAAAGGTTGCGAAAGACGCTCTAAGGAAAGCTTTAGCAGAGCACGGAGGAGACATGAACGGAGCGGTTGCAGACTCGCCGGAGCTGCCGGTTACGGGTGATGATTCTCCGACGGATTTAAATCAGCCTCTCTTAATAAAGATCGATGGTGAAGCAGCTCAGGACCAAGAAAACCATAGTCATTAAATTTACTTTGTACTTTATATAATCATATTATCTTTTAACTTACAAACCATAGGATCTTTGGGCAACAAAAGAGTCAGCGGTTCATGCACAGATTATATACTAAATCGCTGTAGTTTTCGTTTTCTTTGGCTTGTATAATAATAATAATTCTGTTATGAATATAGAAGTGTTATGAATATAGAAGAGATGGAAGTAAAACTTGTATTTGTTATATTGTTGTTGTGTTATATTTAAAAGAAATCATGATTTCCTTTTATAAGGAGAATACAAAGATACATGAATTTATTATAAGATTATGTTACTTGTATGAGATGTTACTTCTGGTAGATGTTACATGATTGACATCTATCAATGGTTTCATAACA